ATGCTTGATATTTTATTCCAATATCATGCGTGATATTGGGAGCCCTTGAGAGCGAAACAAAATCATTTGAGTGAGGATTATGCCATCACTGGCACCAATACAACCGGACGTGAAAATCTCTATTCGTTTGTTAAGCCAACTGTCAGAAGGTTACAATTTGTTGGGGAAGGGGAGTGCAATGCCAATGTAATAGCACTTATTTCAAATATTTTTTTTATTATTAAAAGTACGTTCATTTGTCGATTTGTGTTATGTTAAAATTATTTTTATAATAAATTAAACTCCGACTTCAAAATTGAAATTCAATGCATCTATATCTACATCTATCCTATCATGACATTTTTCAATGAAGGCGATTTATATAAATAAGATCTTCAGAATTGCTGTTCTCGTATTCACAGATATCCTTTCTAGTGAAGGTGGTAGAAGTTCTTCGCACTTGAAAAATCGCCGTCTGCCAGTTAACGCCATTAGTTTTTGCAGAAGTTATTCAAATGCAAGCAAAGAATTTGTGTTCAATGGTCTCTACAGCAGCCACACAATGAGTGCAATTTTTCCCGTCTTTACGTCTCATAATATTCAAAAGCCCCCGGAGTGGGACCTTTTGGTTCACCCAGATATACAACGCACTACGCTGCGACGACACTAGATTCCGTGTAGCAATATTGCTCCACACACGAGGCCAGTTGATTTCGGGGTTTGCTATCTCCATTTTTGGTCTGTCCGTGTGTTTTACGAAGAAGCGATGGATGAGATCGGCGGAGGGGTGTTAGCGGATTTGGAAAGGGAAGTTTGAAAAATTGTTTAGGATTAATTTGAGGCAAGGAAGGTCTGAAATTAAATTTGATTGGGGAGGATTTGTTTGATAGAGGTAGGAACTATAGTAGGGACTCGATCTCGTGAAGGTGGCGATTAATTAATAGCGCCTTGCACTTCATCGCTGGTAGATGTAGCTTTAGGCCGCCATGCTCTTTACTGCGCGCCAACTGTTGCATTGGTATTGTAGCAACAACTCCACGAAAGAGGTAACTCCGCATGGTTACTGTCAGCTTTGCCACGTGTGCTGCCGTCAAGTGGAGGTTTGCTGCCATATACCACATTTTGGACGACAAGAAGGTATTCAGTAACGTCACTTTTTGGTGTATTGACAAGGTGCGCAAAGAATGCAGCCATACTTGCCGAGAAAAGTTTGTCACAAGCGAGTCCCAATTTAGCTTAACCATCAGCCGCACCGAGTTGACGAAAACCACACCTAGAATTTTGATGGTATTCTCCGTACGAAGCCACGGTACAGTCAGAGGGTGATTGCAGATTACACCGACATCAATTGCCGTTGTTTTGGTTTCATTCAAACGCGCTCCTGCTACTCTTTCAAAGCGCCAGAACAAATCTCGCATTGTATCCAACTGTTGAACACTGGTGACGATGGCACTAATATCGTCTGCGTAGGCAACGATGAGATCTGCTCCACAAACTTGCTCCAAGCGCCGCAAGAGAGGGTGCAGATATAGAACGAACAAATGCATGGAGAGAGGGTCCCCTTGACGGACCGATCGCTCGATCGGGAAGGGTGCAGAGAGGTGACCGTTTATCAGCAGGCGAGACGAAGAAGCAGCTGCTATACGGGAAAGTAAACAAAAAGCGCTGGTCCACACGGTCAAATGCATGGTCGAGATCAAATGACACCAACTTACCTTTTCTCCTGTTTGTTTTCAGCTGGGCGATTCTGTCTTTTACTGCAAGTGTTGCTTGAAAGATGTTTCGTCCGGCATATGAGCACTTTTGGGAGCCGGACAGAACACCATGAGTTCTAAGTAAATTTTCAAGCCGCTGCTTCAAGATCCGTGAAAGAATTTTGTAGTCCACATTGACTAGGCTTATTGGCCTGTATGAGCGAGCGGTGTTCCCTGTACCGCGTTTCTTTACCAACACGATCACTCCATCAACGAACTGAGCTGGAAAGTTGGATCTGATGGCCTCATTCAATATCAGATTCAGTTCTCGATTAATCACATCGAATGTTCGTAGGTAGAACTCTTTAGGTAGCCCGTCGTGGGACCTGGTGATTTTTTCGATGCGGACGTACGGATAGCAGAAAGAATTTCGGTCGTTGTGATCTCGTTCATGGTGGCTTTATTTACAGCATCTTGTTCGGGGATGACTCTCTCGCAGTAAAAAGGGTTGCCTTCATCTTTTTCGTACACTTGCTCACGAGCATACAGGTTGGTGAAGTATTGTAGCATATGATCATATGATCCTGAATAGAAGCTGGATCTTCGATTATTTCGTCTCTCTCGTTCCGCAGCTGCTCGATGGTGGTTTTACGGCGCATTCGTTCACCCAGTTGGTAGGTAGATAGTGGCTCTCCGGAAACGAAAGTCTCGTTAATACGCACAAACAGTTCGGAGAAGCGACGTTGATGCGAGAGCATTTCTGCCTTTAGTCGGTTGATGGTGACTAGCATGGCACGGTTGTTTTGGTAGCCATCGTACGCTTGCCGTAGAAGCCAGTGGAGACGTTGTTGTTCACGATTGAAATCGTCGAAAGCGAGCTTTGATTTCCATCGGAAAAAAGATTTTGTTTTGGGCTTTGCGCACGATAGCCACCATTCCATCCATGACGTGAAATTGCGACGTTGGCGAGTCCAATATTGCCACCGTATTTGGAACTCGTCAATATTTTCAGCAGTCAGTAGATGGGGACGGTGTGACCTGAAACCACAACCATGCGCTCTGTCAGGGAGAGGAAGGCATATTCTTACAGTGACGGCTTTATGATCCGAGAAACAGCACACATGAACAGTTGTTGATCTTAGCTGTTGTCGAAGGGTCATTTAAAGAAAACGTTCGTTAACTCGTTAGGCAATCGTTTTACGAAGTTGATGTCCTGAGAAAAGTTGTTTCATTTGACATAATCTACAACTTTGCTGAAGACACCAACATGATTTGAGCAAATTTGTAAAATTTTAATTTTGTCCTGCCCTTCTAGGTGGATAGATAAGCAATATCTCAACACCAAACGATAGCCCTTTGAAAACTCTGCAACTCTTCTCAAGACACCATCCTTCTAAAATGTCGTTTTCATACCGAAAAATAAAAAAACGCACGTTTTGGGGGGTTTTGAACCACTGTGCAGCGGTACAAATCGATAACGAGGGGATTATAAATGTGCTTCGATGGCATTCTTTGTTGTTCTTTAGCGAAGTGCAACGATACGATGGTATAAGAATTTAAATAGTTTTAGATTAATATCTATGAAGAAAGGTCAAGCTCTTGCGATATATCGAAATTGGACGAAATTTATTTTGGCACCTTCAAAGAAATTTCAAGGTAAATAATTATCGACATTAATCTTTATTTTTGCATAAAGAACTTCACGAATGGTTGGTCGGGTCGTTTCTTCGGGACCTTCTGGTCTTAGAGTTACCTCTATGTTTGTGGTGTGTAGATTGCGGTAAACTGTGGGACGATCCCGATTGTCCTGTAGAACTTCCCCAATCGTTGCGCCTTATATTCACCGCCTTGGTCTGAGCGAATGACAACAGTCTTCCTTCCAAATTGATTACATACCATGTTGACATACTCCTCGATCTTGTCCGCTGCCTTCTTGAGGAAATAGACCACGGTGAACCGACTGAAATCGTCGATCATCAGGCCACAGATGTCTGTATGGATAAGATCGAGTACTTTCGTGGATTGTTTTCCGGCCTTCTTTGGAAACGGTTGTCGTGGCAGCTTACACTCTGCACAGCACTCGCATGTTGTTGGTCGTTAATTGCTCGATTGGTTCCGCTATTTGACAGCTCAATTGGTTCCCGAGATTCTATCCGCCAGACACTATGAATATATTAGCGACAATAGTTCCAACCGAGGTTCCAACCCAGTGCGAAACCGAACTTTTTGTCAGTGCGAACCTCAACCTGAGCTAGGTTTTAAAGACAAACGAGCAAACTGACGTTTGTCAGGAAACAAGCAGACCCAATCTTGATACCCGATCCAGGTTGGAACTGAATAATAAACGAATTCGCTATAAGTTTCAGTAGTATATTTGCTAAAAAGCCAATAAGGCATTCTATGAGACAGCTGTGGTCAGTGTGTAGTGTAGTACTAGAATTTCGACTGGAATGGGATACGTTAATCGATGTGCTTAGGACCAATAGGCTAGTCCAATAGTAAGCCAATTTAAAATCGTTAGTTTCCACCGGTTGGTCAGGTCTTTCGTAAAGCCTTCTTGCTGTTGGTTTGTGTTTTTTTATATATATATATTTTAACGAGATTTTTAGTCATAGGTTAGTTCATCTCGGGTTGGTTTGAAATGGTTTATGGATTAAATGATTATATTGAAAAATTTCCTACCTATCATACTGACTGATGCTTGTTTATTTAAACGGTGGTTCATAGCTATTTTCACCGTTGTGTACCGTCAACAAGATCACGGGCGCCTATCGTAAATTCAAAGCAGTTATCTACTACAACTTGTGCGTAGTAAATTAACCGATGGTTGTAGGACAGATCTCTCTATCTCTCTAATTCGGTGGTCATAATATGAAATTCTACCAAATAAGAGAGAGAAAGAGAGAGAGAGATCCGTCCTACAGCAATCGGTTAATTGAAACCATCGCCACCAGTACCACACTGCTGTCCAGAGATTTTTATCTCATTCCTCCCGCTCGGTTGCTCTTTAAACGATTATCGTCTTATCTCTGTGTTGTGCAGTTGTCACACCAGCTTTCCTGATAAGGCGGCATCAAGTGAAGAGGAAAATAAACAAAACACTCAATTGCAGTTAAATGAGTTGAACAGTATTGGTGTGTACACTATTCAACTCAGGGCTGTAGCCAAGATTTGCCCGATATTGTAGAAAAATGCTTCAAGATAACGTTGATGGTGGATTAGGCCCTCGGCGGTCACTTGAGTGCATTCGAGTAAACGACCTGAACAACGGGTTTCGTCTACCCCAGTTCTGTTTCAACCTTCCAACAAGTCAGTCACGATATACAAAGGTGAAATATACAGTCGTCATGTTCCATACATTTGATTCCGCCAGCCAAACATGGATCTCTCGCTATCCGGCTCCGGTGTTCGATTCGAATGCCAACCTCGGTCAGCTCATCCTAGACGTTCTGGGCCGGAATCCGCAAAAAGTGCTTCAAATCGATGCTGACACTTCGAGGGAACTAACAGCCGGGGAAATGCGACTCCGAGCGATACGGGTAGCGCAGAACTTGATCGAACTTGGCTTCCGCAATGACGACATGGCAGCGGTCGTTTGTTCGAATAGTGAAAATTTGGCTCCGTTGGTGTTGGGGCTTTGGTTGGTGGGGATTCCGTTCATTAGTCTTCCGGTTGCATTCAACGGGGACGATTTGGGTTATCTGATGGGGTTGGTCCAGCCCAAGTTGGTGATCTGTGATGATGGGGTGTACAAAGCGGTGCTGGAAGGTGCCAGGAAGGCACTGAAGATGAAGCCGGTAGTATTTGCCGTGGAGAGCGAGCTGGAAAGCATCCGGAAGGCGGAGGAACTGCTGCAGGAGACCGGGAAAGAAGGGACGTTTGTGTGAGTGGAGGTAGCTGGTTTCTTGGTAGAAAGGAGAGTAAATAGGTGTTTTTAAATTGCAGATCGCAGTACCACGGAGACATGCGTGAGCTGATCGGAATAATTCTGTGCACTTCGGGAACGACCGGACGTCCGAAAGGTGTATGCGTATCGCAAGCTCACATCGCCGTAGTGCTTAGTCGACATGTGACCGGAAAGGATTCGGATTTGGTGTTCAATTTTAGCCCTCTGTATTGGGGAACGGGGTTGTTTGCGCTGTTAAACTCGATCTCAACCGGGACGACTCGGGTTGTGACAAGAAGCGGCTTCAACGAAGACGTATTCTTTGACATTTTGGATCGTTATCGACCGACGCACTTCTTCACGCCACCTTCGCATGCAATTTTGCTGCTGGATCATCCGCGAGTGGAGCAGGCTGATTTCGGTTGTGTGAAGAGCTGGAGCTTGAGTGGAAGCCATGCTTCATCGGAGCTGCGCAAGCGGATTGAGTCGAAGATCCTTAATGGGAAAACCTTCAATAGCTACGCTTCGTCGGAGATTGGTTTGATAGCAATGGATACGATGAGGAAGAATGAAGGTAGCGTTGGGACGCTGATGCCTCATTTGAACGCCAAGGTGGTTGATGAGCGCGGAGAGGCAGTAGGCGTCGGTGAGCAGGGTGAATTGTTGCTACAGACGACGATTCCGTTTATGGGCTACTACAAAGATGAGGAGGCGAATCGTGAGTTGCTCGACGAAGACGGGTGGATTCGTACTGGAGATATTGGCTACTTGGATGAGGAAGGACTTATCTATTTGGTTGACAGGAAAAAGGATGTCATCAAGTATCGAGGTTTCCAGATGTCACCGGTGGAATTGGAAGCTGTGATTGGAAAGATCGACGGCGTCCGGCAGGTTTGCGTTGTGGCCATTCCGGAGATGGATGGAACGTCGGATTTGGCTGCGGCAGTTATTGTGAAACGGGAGGGCTCCGCGTTGACGGAGGAGCACGTAGTCCAGTTAGTCGATGAGCAAGTATCCGATCATAAGCGACTACGAGGAGGCGTTTTCTTCTGGACGGAGCTGCCACTGACGCAGACGGGGAAGGTGCTGAGGAGAGAGGTTCAGAAGCGTTTGATCGAAGCGAATCAGTTGGAATAAATAAAGTGTTCAATATCTTTAGGGGGGCCGCTCGCATTCGAAAGAAATCCATGTACAGTCGAAATTCGCTAGTTGGGATTTTAATACTTAATACCGCTTGGGCCATGTCGCAATTAAAAAGCAAGTGGATGTCAACATTTCATGTCAGATTGGGTTTGCAAAGGTTTAATTGAGATTGTTCATAACTTGTAGTCGTTACCAATTCAATTTGCATCAAACTAGCCTTCATAATTCATTTTTGATACTTGGAAATGATCTAGTCTAGCTGATTTGCATGAAAACTACAGTTTTACAGCCTTGAAATCATCCCAACTTTTATCATGTTCAAAAATCAGGATACATGCCATCGCTAATTGAAACCAACATGAAACATCTAAGCAACCTGTTAATTTTACCATTGATGAATCTGATGAGGACTCTAAAGGCGCTGTCATAGTGGGAGCGTTCTATACAAAAGAATTCCTATTATTGATATTATTCCTCACATTCGATTTCACGATTCGCGTGTCTCTTCGCTCTCAGTATGGTAGCGGCCTGAACAAGTCAAGCGTAACTATTCAAATCGACGTATCCGCTTTTGTAAACAATCTCTTCAATCGACGATTTGTCTTAACTGCTAACTCACCCACGCAACACCATCATCAGGTAGGAGACACTCCCCCCTATTCTGCGAGTCACGTGACTCTCTCTCACCGGTGAGGTGACAATTGTCACCTCACCGGTGACAGAGAGTCACGTGACTCGCAGAATAAGGGGGACTTTCGCCTACAAGCTGGTGTTGTTAGTTTCTATGAGTGAGCTTGCAGTTGCCACAAATCGCCGATTAAAGTGATTGTTTAAAAAATCAGATCCGTCGATTTGAATAGTTATGCTTGTAATACTTAAAATCCCATAGAACCAGAACGTCAAAATCGAACACATGTTTGATTCAATCTGTGTGACTGTGTTCCATTTGGTGAATTTCTAATAAACCTGCTATTGTACCAGTCTTATTTCTGGCAACCCAGGAATCAATTTTGACAAGCATCTCGTAAATCACACAATCAACAACAAAGAGATTTTCGAACATTATAATCTATTTTCGAAATGTCAAATTTATGTAAAAATTCAGAAAAATGGAACACAGCCTAAGACATTCGATGAATTTTCACTGAACTTCGAAAATAAATTATACTGTTCGAAAATCACTATGTTGTTGATCATCCGATTTTTGAGAAATTGTTTGTCAAAATTGATTTCTGGTTTGTCTGAAATAAGTCTGTTTTTTTTTTTTTTTTTCCTTTATTAGAGAGATTTTTAGCCTAAGGCTAGTTGATCTCTTTTAAAAATTACAAAAAAGAATTGGGACCTCAAAAGGAGGATCCCAATCTTGGCAAGTGGGCATTTAGCTTAATTATATAAAATATTGTAAAAACACTACCAAAAGGGCCAACGAATTCAAAAACACAAACAGAAAACACTCAAATGTCTGCGTCTGCTACCGGGGACTCGTCGCCAAGCAGACTTCGTATGCTGGTTCCCTCCAGACCGAAGGCAACCCGAAGGTCCTCGAGCTCCACACAGTTGATGAGGATGTGTTCTACGGAGGCTGGCACTCCGCAGGTTTCGCAGGTTCTCCGGAACGGTGTTGTGTGTGTGTGTGTCATCCTCTATCCCTCACCCAGCCGGGGGCGTTGGACAAGTAGAACTCGCAGGTTCTCCGGAACGGTGTTCCTCCGAAATTATGGGAGGCCCTGCGCCCTGCTATGCCCGGTGCGCAGCCTGGACACCACTTGCTGCTCCTTGAGGCTCGGTCGATCCTTCCAAGGATCGGTGGTCGCCTTGATTTTTCGTAGTTGGTGAGTTCGATTGTTCCTCCACTCGTTGTCCCACGCTCTCCGAACCGTCCGCTTGATCCATTTCTTGATGTCCTGGAACGGAACATTGTCAGAGAACCTGGGTCCGATGGGGCATGAGCCGGCGAGGTGGTCGGCGATCACGTTCCCCTGGATGCCACAGTGCCCGGGTACCCACATGTATACGGTGTTCGGCGGCGCATGCGTTACCGTCCCTTGTATCCACGGATGCTTTGGTGCTTCATCGGTTAGGGCCATTATTGCGCTTTGTGAGTCGATAACGATGAGGATCGGCCGATTGGCCGGAAGGGTGGTTGCGTGAAAGACGGCCGCTGCCTCAAGCACTGGGCCGGAAGTGAATTGCTGACGACCAAACTATCTCCTGAAACCCCCATTCCCACTCCGCTGCTGGAGAGCGAGCCATCGGTGTACCTGATTTCGTGATCTTGATAGTGCGCCCCGAGAGTTTCGACGACTGTCCGGCGCAAAGCCAGTGAAATAAGTCTGGTAGAACGGCAAGATAATTTGAAAAATGTCCATCTGTCATATATAAGTAAAAATTCACCAAATGGATCGCAGCCTAAATGAAGGCGGTTGACAGCTGTAGTATACTCCTAGTCCCACCATCGAATCAGAGTCGATGTTATAATAAGGTCCCGCCAAGAGAAAATGTTGCGAACAAGCAGCACTGTTTGGGATTTAATTTTCGTCAGAGTAAACGGCAACCAGATTTTTTGCGTTAGCATCGGATGACTTTCATTCAGAAGTGAAAAATTTCATGTCGATAACGGAGCTTCTGGGAGACAAAAACAATTATAGAACCTGAAAAAGGTTCAAACAAGTGCTTGGTATAAATACCACAATGTACTAAATAAAGCGAAGAAATGTTTTTCATCTAAAATTACTAAAATATTGTCAATAATGAATGCAATACTTGTAGTTGACTGGCTGTGGGAACAATGATGTTTATTTACTTCGCTCGTTTGGTATCCCATTTGACAGTTCGATTGGTACTTCTGGCTTCACTCTTGGCGGGACTCTTATTATAACATCGACTCTGCATCGAATGGCATTTGCTAGATAAGATGAGGTTGCGACATAATTAAACAAATAAGCTCTGCAAACAACGCTCTTTGAAAACAATTTTATGAATATGTTACTGGAAAAAAATGCAAGGATTAAAAAGGAGGACATTTTCGGGCAAAAGGAGGATGCAGAAAAAAATATACATGAAAACCGGGACACGTGAAGCGTGATTGTCCCTTAGCAATCCGAGAAACCAAGGAAACAAACAAACAACCGAGCGGTGGAAGAAAATTAAAGACCCCACTGAAAGGCAAGAGTCTGAAAGTTGGTAAGCTGTCGCCGTTCGCATTCATGGCTAGTTGTGATCGAAAATCGTCAAAAGCTTGGATCATCGATTCGGGAGCAACGTCTCACATGTGCTCCGACGAGCTGAGAAGCAGATCTGGAATATCCATCACTTTGGCCGAAGGAATCGAGACACCCGTGAAGGGGATTGCTTCCGGTAGGCTGTTTTGCTACGACGATCGAGGCAGGCGAGGAACAGAAAGTTATCTTGTCGGAAGTGTTCTATGCTCCTGAGCCAGAGTCGAACCTGCTTTCGGTTAGCCGACTGATCACGAAAGGAGCTAAAGTAACATTTTCGGAGTCAAGTGCGGAGGAAGAGTTGCAGCTGTTGCAAGCAAAGTTCGAGGATTGTTCTACATGAAATTCGCCAATCAACAAGGAATGCACGCCGCACAACATCCCAAGGACTGTGTGCACGTGTGGCATCGAAGACTAGGGCATAGGGACCCTGAAGCGATTCAGCGTGTGGTACGCGTTGATTTGCGAACAAAACTTCGGAAACCCTTTTCTCGTGCCTCAAGGCTCGCCTACGCAAACTAACACCATCTTTGGGTTGAGGAAAGGTTCCCCTATCCGATGATGCCGGTAATTTGCGTTCGATTGGCGAGGAAAGAATAATCAATGTTTTGTTTATAAAAGTTGATAGTACCTTTTCAATTGTGGTTCTAAAATATGTATATTGAATCGGTTCCGCTTTTTGATAGATCGAAATTCTATCCGCCAGACTATGAATATATCGACTATAGTTGGAACTGGTTCCAACCCCGAATAATAAACGAATCCGGTATTACCTAGAGTTAACTCTAAGACTAGAAGGTCCCAAAGAAACGAGCTCAACTTTTTGGCTCAGCTCTGGTACTCTCTTCGGTCCCAAGCGAATCGATGCACCCCTCGAAGCATAGAAAATTCACGAACCCCTCATTGTATCTGTCAAGTTTTCATAGCGAATCAAAACAAACATAGTGTAATACTGGAATTTCGACTAGAATGGGATACGTTAATAGATTTGCTTGGGATCAATCGGCTAGTCAAGTAGTTAGCCAACTTAAAATCGTTGGTTGCTACCGGTTGCTATAGAGATTGCTAAAGTATGATTGTGTCAGTGATTTGTATTCATCGGGAAAATTTTCCGCTATGAAGTTTTTTTTCCCGATGAAAACATTTTGCGTATACGTATATCTGACGTAGTGTGCGTACGATAAACGTCAGCAATCTCTATTACTGTAAGACACGTCACCTAACGCTAACGTCAGAAAGGGCAACCAACCCGCATTTGATTACAACGCCCAGTCGAGGGGTGAGTGAGTTGTAGTTGTTACTATTGAAAAATCAAATTCTATTACATTAATTACAATCAATGAAAAATCGTGTGGAATACGAAATTAATTGTGTTCTTCAGGGAAATGTGGTTATTTGGCCAGCCGGAACGGAAAAACCCGGAAAAGTCCCGAGCAAAATGCGTGTCGATGCATATTGACATGAGTGGTTTTCTGCAATTTGGATACCAAATTTTAAGATTGAGCCTCTATTTGAATGATACACCGAAAATAGTTTTCATGTAGTTTCCATTGGAAACGCAAATGATTTTCATCCATAAACAAAATTAATGCAATTCATCTGAATTTCACAACAATCACTTGAACATTTATGCGATCACGTTAATTTTATATGATTTTTCATATAAATTTCATCGGCCTCATAATATTCATGTGATTTTGTGGTGTGAAATTCACATGGTTTTCATCCATTAGATATGTGATAAATTTTTTGAGTGTATGACTATCTACTTTCGAA